GAACCAGCAATGTAGTTGCATAATGAAATGCATTTTATTCATGGAGAATCTTTGTCTTAAAGTAAATTGTTTAAATATTTCAGAAGCTGAGCATCTATGGCGATTTGGAATACATGAATGAACAAAAACTGAACAGATATCCATCTTCTGCGCTTGTTGTGGTTAGATGCAAGACTGAGGAACATGAAGAAGCAGGACCTCTTCCTACAAAAGTCAATCTGGCTCAATCAGCAATATAAATAGTGCTCCATTGGATCCAATAGACTAATTCTAACAGAGCTAGCAGCTCCTGATTGTTTGTGGTGGTTCTTCAGATAAGAAGCTTAGCAGCCAGTCTTTAAATGCAAATAACGTTACAGAATCAAGAAATGTCATGGGATTTTGTTTTCAACTAGTAGTGAAGATTCAGACATCTTGAATTTATGTTTGTTTCCAGACATAATCACTTTTCACTGGTGTTTGCTATGTGTCTTTTTGCTTACAAAGGCTGTAAGCATGCTTTCCATATTTCTGCCATGACATTTTCAAACTTATTTGTGTGTTCTAGGATGTAATGTGTACATTCAGAGTTAGCTTTGTAAAGGTATAAGAAATTTTAAGTAGGCAGGAGATGCCTTTTTAGTGTTGCACTTTCTGTTGTAGTTAAGAGGAAAATATTATAAAATTATCTGCTGAATTTTGGTACTTGTTAATGTCCATGCACAAACAACCCTGTCTCCAAAAATAGAAATATATTTTTTCTACAGTGTGGCAATATCCAAGATGGAAAGCATTTGTGAGGTACTGTAGGCTAGAACGCAGTTTGTGAAAGATGGAAACTTTGTTAAAACTTATGGACATATCCTTTCACACACTGAACATAACATGGTCAATTATTTTGTCAAAGTTTGGCTTTTAAGTCTTATATTGCTTGTAAAGTTAGCACCTATGTTTTCTGAAGAAATTCTACTTTCTGTTCTTGATTAACTATCTAGTCTTGTAACTTCATTTACAGAAACAAGTTGATTCCTGAGAAATGAGAACAGACAAATAAAACCAACTGTATAGAAAATGTTGACTATATAGCTTTTTGCTATGGTTAATTATTGACCGGAACATATTCAGTATGAAAGCCTGTCTGCAGCATTCCTCTCATGGGCAATGTGACCTGATTTTGCTATATGATTCACTAACACAACAACAACTAACAATGTCCCTCATATTTCTGATTTATTTTTTGTGGTTCTTTTCTTTGAGGAGATTACTATATGCTGGTTCCCATAGCATTGGGGTTGGGGGTGTATGCAATTTATTTTAAGGTCTCTCTAAGTGTTTGAAAGCTGGCTAGAATGCATGATCTCAGACTCATGGTCATATTTTGTTGATTATACAGAACTCCATTGAAGGTTTAAAAAAAAAAACAAACACCAAACAAAACCTCTTCAGGTTTTGAATTCTGGTGAGAACTAGAGATTCTGGAGGATACAGTGTTAAAGCTGGTTCAGTAGTCATTTCTAATCGGCTCTAAGGCTGATGGTTGCGTAGCTACAGGTGGTGGAGCCTTGCAGGGGCCATGCAGCAGGAAC